GAGAGGCAAACACTTCAAAATTTAATAAGCATAATACGAGCTCTACTCCGAGTAAACAAAATTTTTTTTGGAAATTATTTGACCTCGGGCTGGCAAACAATTTTGTTTTCTCAAGACAATTTCCCCTCCGAAATATTTAAAGCACCTTGCAGCAGCAATCAACTTTATGAGCAATAAACTGGGGAAAAACATTTTGCCATCGTCTAGTTTAACCCAAATTGAATTCAATTTTGCACTCTGAGTAGCTGGCTTTAAATCATCGAAACAAACGGGCGGCTCAGTGGCTCAGTAATGAACCCGGGGAAACTTTTGTACTCGCGCCAGGAGGTTTATCGGTGTAATCAATTCCCCGGACCCAATCTTTCCAAGAAAAGATTAGCATATAACATATGCATGCGGACCCATAAAGTTCCCCGAATCCTTCAGCACCCCTTTTCACGGGGCTTAGGTGAAGTGCGGTACTTTCCCAACTACGGAAATAGTAAACGCATGAAAAATTTAATGGCTCCGCAACCCGTGCAGTCAATTGCGTCCTTTCAGGGTCCTTGCCACCCCTGCCTCCCCTGGGAGGTCGCCCCGCCAAAACGACTTCCGCCTGATTTACAGCTACATTTGTAAGTAGACACAAAACACTTAACAGCTAAAAAGGACTTTGCATAAGTAATGAGCAGAGGCCAGCGTGCATATGTGTGTGTGTGTGCTTGTGTTTGTAAGTGTGTGTGCGTGTTGGTGTTGTGGGGACCGACAGCTTTAAGATCCTGAAAGGAAACCGGAACCAGAAACCAAGACTCAGACTCAGACTGAAACTGAAACTAAAGCGTTCTCAGCGATGTGCAGCAATGCGAGAGATCCCCTGACTTTTTACACATAGCTGCGCACACACGCACAGACCACTGAAAGGATAGCGGTGCACTGAGAGAAAAGAGTAGCATTTAAGCCTATGAAAAATGTAGTATTAAGAATTCTTAATTTAAATCATTGCTGACTTTATCCATTTATTTATTCTTATGTTTTTTTGTGATTGGAAATGGGTAAATCAAGTTTTAATCTAAAAGTAAAATATTTTATTTGATTATAAATTTTTGTTTAAGTGCATAGTTTCCGGAAGGCGGCGTGTGAGCTGGTGACTCCTCTCCATGACAACTTGATGGATGTGCGGGCGTCGAACATCTGCTCCAGCGGTCCACCCATCATCCCCCCATCCCCTCATTCCTATCCCCATCCCCATCCCGATCAACACCCGTTGGTGGTCCCAAGGACGAGCTCTTAACTCGGGCTGACCGCAAAAACAAAACAAATTCCGCACTGATTGCCAAAAGGGTTCTTCGGCCACGCCCCAGTTCACCTACGTCGCACTCCATAACGGTGCTTTAAACACAACCGATTTCGGAACCGACTTCATTAGGCCCCAATCCGAGAGCGACGCCATGGAATAGGGATAGGACAGGCCGATGGGGTGTTGGGAAGAGGGCGTGCTGACCAAAAAATTAATTGGCTGCTCAGAGTCGGCCGACAGCTGCCATTTTGTGCCTGCCATTTGCTATGCGTAGACATGTCAATTCCCCATGCCGAGAACACCATCCATCTGGCCTTTAGCCCATCTGCTCGCCAGCGCCTCCAGGTAGCTTAAAGATTTATGATAAAGCCAACTAGCGAGCTGATGGCAATGGAGACTGGAGAATGGAGAATGGCCGAAATGAGCTAAGGTGGCTAACAAACGGGAAAGCGGTGGGTGGAAAAGTTTATCCAACTTTGGCTTTAACTTTGGCATTGGCTCATTGCGGCCCGTTTATCTATGAAATGAAGGAATCTGAATCTGATTGCCAAACGAAGCGTTCCCAATTGGGGTTTCAACTGAAATATCACGAAGTTGGCTCGAAGCTCTGGCCAAATTATGCGGCTTGCTGAATATTAAAATATCAAATACAACACAAATTGATTGTATTTTATTGATGACAACTTGTGAATTCTTTTGGTCTGGCGGCATTTCCATAAATTCGTGTGCTTTAGTATCTGATGATAAAGGTACAATAAAAATATGTTTTTTTTTTTTTTTAAATATCTTTTAAATTATTATTTTACAAGAGTATTTGTTTTTAAGTATATATGTATTCAACTACTTGCCATCACTGCCGAATGGGTGGTTTAAAGTGGAGTCCTGGCCACCCTTCTCCTTGAGATTTGTGCGTGTCGCAGCTTATGCTCTGGCTTAAGCGCTTAAAATGCTTTTTGACAACAACAACAATAATAACAAGAACAACAACAACAAGAGCAGCTTTTGCTATGGCTGTAGAATGATAAATTCATTCCCTTACCATTCTTTCTAGATGGTTTTTCTCGTGTAAGCCACGCGCCGTCTAGCATCCTCATTCCGCCTGAAATCCCAGCCATTTGACAACCCACTTGCCATTTCCCATTTCCCATTTTCCACCTCCCCAGTCCCGCTTTTCTGCACTGCAAGATATCTGTGTAAAATTTCATTGCCTATTTTGTTTTCCTTTTCTGTTTGACGCTGAAAATCACAGCTTCACCAATTTGCGCTCAATTAATTTTGTTGCTCCTCCGCCGTCGCCCTTTTTCGCTTGGCTTTTATTTTTTATATTTGCGGCCGTTGCCGTCTTTATCATTATCCATCCCGAGCATAATTTATTAAGTTGCAAACATTCTGCAAGCTTTTCGCGTTCACTTAAATATTCACGACCATTGACGACGGGACGCTGTTATTGAATTTGCTGTCCTTTCCTGGCTTTTGATGGCTATGCAGTAATTGCGTTCGCTGTTATTAATTAACTGGCGTTTTATGCAGATTTTTAAATGAAATTAATTATACATTAATTATGTTGTAATTACGTAATCATAATTAACGCATTCGCCATCGCACTGCAGTGCAGTCGGTTGAAAGGATTCAGCGCGTGTCCCTCGGCATTTAATTACATTGCAGTTGTGGTCAGGCGATGAATGATGGCCACACACTCCTGCGGCAATCTAATTGATGGAGGTGAAAAGTCACGGGGAGCTTGCAACCGAAAGCCGCACAGAACATTACCTCGAAACATGCACAAAACAACACACGAATTAAGGTAATAGCATTAAATGTTCGGATTAAATTTAATTCTCTCAAAGCTGTTAATGTACTTAAATGCTGACTAAATAATGGTTTTTGTGCATCTCTTTTGATATTTGATTGAAATGCATAAGATTATATTTAATTGGAATAATTTTACTCGCTCTATTTGTTTTAAGGGTTTTGTATTCAACTTAAGTATCTATGACTCATACTTTTTTGATTTAATGACAGGGAACAAAAGGACTTGGGCAACCAATGCAATTAATATACTGCTAGGCTCACTCACATCCAGTTGCCACTTGTGCTTTGCATTGCCTTTGCATTGTGAGTGCCTAATCCTCGGGATCTAATGCCTCCTTTTCGCCGGAGATTTCAGCTTCCGCCCCTTGACAGCAGGCAGATCCCGATTTCGTCCTTCGTCCTTTTTGCAGTGCCTTCAGTTTGCAGTCGGCGTGCCAGGTTCATAGCTCCTGCCTGCAATATTTTTCACACTTGATATAACAAGCTACCATTTGTTGGTCCTTCCAGCAACATTGCTCACTTTGCCAAGGATTGCTCCAGGTGTCTGTGTACGTGTTCGTGTGCGTGTGCGTGTACGTGTGTGTGTGTGCGTTTGCGTCTCGCTGCTTGTTTGTGTTTGTGTTTGTAATGGCTCCCAAAGCGCACAAACAAAACTGTCATCAGAGTTGCAGCAGCTGCAAGGTGCGGGGGGGGGGGGTGGCAAAAGGGGAGGGGAGGGGAAGCAGGAAGGCATACGGAAGCAGCACTCAGATAAATGCAGTTCCAAAATCTGCAATTCGTTTTGAAAATCAAAGGAATAACACTTAACTGGCGGCGAAGGAAGCACTCAGATAAATGCAGTCGTTGAATAAGCTATTCCTTTTGCATCTTTACGGAATAAAGATGGAATAATCTTAATGGCAATCCTTATGGCCCGATTTCTTTCAGTGGCTTTTTGCTGGATAAAAATCTGCCGGCAGATGTTTCCACAGCCCGAACTAAGTCAAAGCGAAATTCGTCTGCGCTCGTTTGCCGCCTCTAATGCAATTTTTATGCTGCACTTGCTCTGCCGCTTGGCAAAGCTCCGAGAGCTTCCGCTGCCATCTCCTTGGCATTGTTTCTCGGCTTCCTTGTCTCCAGCAGCGTTCTGGTTCGTCCTGGTTCGTCCTGGCCAGACTACAAAGGCGGCGCGCTTATTAAATTGTCTGACGCTCCCCGCTCTGCCCGCTCAATTCCATTTTTCTATCCGGTCTTACGTACTGCAGCTCTGATCGAAATATCTGCGACATAATGCAATCTGCACACCGCCAGCACCATTTGCACCAGCAGCTTCATTAAATGCAACCCGGCTCCTGTTGGCGACATCGCACGGATCCTGTGCTGAATGTCCTTGCCACGTTTCTCTGATTATTGTGCCCTTTCGCATGGAGAGATTACTTTTCTTGGCGAGCGGCAGCAAAAGGAATCCATAAATTTTCATATTTTCCCTGTAAGCAAATCGAGCACTAATGTGGCTCAAACTTTCAGCTGCACAAAAAAGTAAACTAAATCTTGGGAATTTAATTAAATTCCTACTTTGTAACGTACCTTTTTATTCTTCGTAAGAAGCATGACTGCTTCTATTCTAAAATACCTGTGCTTGCATTAAAATCCTCAGGTGCTTTGTAATTTTTTCAAGACACCCTCGCCCTGAGTCATCAATTTCAATTTAACAACTTTTCTTTGCAGTCATTTTCGTTGGAGTAAACTATGAAATTATGAAATATAAACTTGCTCAAGAAAGATTAGCACAAGCCAATCTTGGCCCACAAGTGGGATACTCAAGTGTGCATTGAAGAAGGTTTTTCTTTATTCCTTCTTCTCCGGCTATTCAACAATGGATGGTCCGGGAAAATAGCTCTGTTCAGGGGCTTGAATGGGACAAAGGACTCACCTTTCACCAGCGTAAGGATGCCCAGCGGCATGACCAGGACGGCGACCATCAGGTCGGTGATGGCCAGTGACATGAGGAAGTAGTTGGTCACATTCTGCAGCCGGCGCTCCCAGGCGATGGCCAGGCAGACGAGGATGTTCCCGGCCGCCGTTCCCAGGACGAGGACGAGGGCCAACAGGGCCCAGTAGTTGTTGGCATCGAAGGGGACGTCCTCGAGCGTGGTAATCGTGGTGGTGGTGGTGGTTGGGGCGGTGCCATTGCTGGCATTCCACGTGGCCAGCTGAAGGTGATTGTGGTGTCGCTGGCTGGCATTCTCCCCGGGCAGCTCCTCCTCCCACAGGACGAGGTGCTCCGCACTCGACCAATCCTCGCCACCGCTGTCGTTGTAAGCACCCAGCGAGGCATACACATCCTCTTCCATTCCGCGTTATTATTCCGATTGTGCTCGCCTCTACTCTAATTGCTGCGAATGCCGCATGCTAATTAGCCCACGCATATGAAACGCGACCAAAAAAATGTGGAAGGGGTAATATCGGAAGGGTCCTCGCGATTCGTTCCGTTACGTTCCGTTTCGATTGGATTCGATTCGATGCGATTCGAATTGCAAATGTAAAAGGCCGCAGCCGGACTGCACCGGAAATGAGTAAGGGATGCGGGATCAGGATCCGCGGAGGGACAGGACGAGCTTACGGCACCACGGCGACTCCAACGGCAACCGAACGGATATTGGTGGCAAACATTTTATGGCACGGAATCGCCGGAAGTTTGTGCTGCAATCGAGAAAAAGAGTAGAATGGAAAAATTAAGGAAAACTATTTAAATAGGCAATTTTCTGAGAGAATAGCTTGGGGCCTAATTAAATACGAGTAAAAGAGAATCGAAGAACTATTTGTAATGTGCACAAAGTTTTCTGTATAAAATATTGCTAACTATTGGTTTTTATAAATATATAAATAGTTACAATCAGTTACATTTCCTCCTTAAATACAGATTTATAACTTTAGCATAAAGGAGATTTTGATTAGGTCACACAAGTATTGTCTAAAATTGGCTCTGTCATCTACCATTACAAACTAATTCTCTTTGCTTGGCTTCTGGGCTTTGGTGGGGTTGGCCTCGTTATTTTACCCCCAATTGGCTTAAAGTCGATAAGTCATAGCACAGCTCCATGAGTAATAATTAATGGGCGTCCATAAATTATCCAGACCTCCGCCCACAGTTGTTTATTCGATTCACCATTCAGCATTCACCGTTCTCTATTCAGACGATTGGACGACATAATTGCATTTGATTTGCAGGAAACGAGGGCCAGCGGACTGGGCCGAAGGGGAAGGCGACTTTGAATAATCGGAATCGATAGTGATAAGCAACAATAACAGAAATCAAATCAATTCTCCGCTTGCGTATGTCACAAACATGGATAATTAATTGAGACATATTTCACGCAACAGTCAAAAGCCCTGGAACTATGGAAGGGCCAATATCCAATATCCAGTATCCAGTATCCAAATTCAAAACAGTCCTGAAAGCCCGGAAAACCGCAAGCGGAAACCACAAGCATCGGTGGTGGTCTTTTGTGTCCCAGAACAACACTAACATCAAATTTATTTCCAAAACAAAGAAATAACACAATTCCCAAGCCGCAGAAGCATAACTAAGAGTGGTCAGGCTGCGTAGGAGGGACTCCGACTGGAGTTGGCTCTTCCAGAGGCTCTTCTGGGGTCAACCAGACAAACAAGCAAGCATGACACACTGAGAGAAAATCATACCTCAACGAATGCTTTAGTTACTTGGTATTGATGTTTATTAATCCGATAAGCCATGTTTATTATGAAGAAGTTTGTATAGTTTTTGTGTATTCTATTTTATTATACAATCGTTATTCCAATAATACTACTAAATATGGTGCTTTTCTCTCTGTGTAGCCGCAACAGCAGGCTCAACGTTGCAAAACAATACACAACATTCGCAGAGATCGAAGGAATGGGGGATTGGCGACGAGGCGGGGCAAATCGAGCAACTTTCAAAAGGACCTCACAACTTGACAACACCTTGTTGACTTTGCAAGGAGCTCGTTCCTGCACGTCCTGCCAAATGCTCAAGTGTCAATGTTGTTGTTAATTAATTTTCCCGACTGACTGACTGATGCATGCCACCAGATAAGTGGGTCTCCCACTTCTGGTTCTGGCTGACCCTTGCCAAGTCCGGCCGGGCGCCTTGATAAACTGTTTGTTTGGCCCGTTGTTGGCCAACTTGTAGTTGCCCTGTTGCCCTGTTGCCCTGTTACCCTGTTCCCCTGTCACTGCAGCCGGCTAATGACAGCCAAACGGCCACTTCAAATGTACTCGTACATGGTTCAAAGGTCGGGTGCGTGTCGAGTGTTCCTGCCTGCCTTCCTGCCTTTCTGCCTGCCTGTTTGTTTGTGTGGGTGTCAAGTGTTTAAATTCCAGCTGCTACAGTTATATTTATAGATTATTTGGCAGAACGGGTCGCAATGTTGGGCTTTTGGGACTGATATTAGAGCCCAATAGCTTAGGGGTATCAACTTTTAAAGTTCAACATACAGAAATACGAAAAGGACAAGGTTCACCATGTTGTAATGGGAAAGATATTAAAATTATAGGTATACTTTTACTATTTTAAGCTAAAAATTGTTTGAGCATTTCTCTTAAAGATCTTCTTCTTTAATAAATTCTATTTCTTTGTAGTCCCTTCCTTTCCTTATCTTGCATTATTTCCTCTTTAAAGAGTAGCCAGCGTTCAAATAACGTAAAATTCCGTTCATGCGAAAAATAGCATGTCAGCACATTACAGACCCAACAAAGTCGGCCCCCGAGCCCATAATTATTATTCGGCACCCACCTCCCGTCGGCCGTTTGGACATGAATTGCAGAAAAGCCATATTTTCGTGGTGGGCAGGTATCGAATAAAAAGCGGAGCACCATTAGTCATATTAATCCCGGTGGAGTCATTAAGTCGTAAAACAGCGAAAGGTAGCCAAAATGGGAGGCAACTCCTGGCCAAAAACGGAACTCAGGCGAGGCGAGGCAGGACGACTTTTGTTTGTCTGTCACTTCATTGATAGACATAAAGCGACTATGTGGGTCAATTTCGGCAGTTTGCCGCCCCGTCAAAGTCAATAAATAAGTAAACGGCACGAATTCGAGGTGTCCGAGGCGTATACGTAATTTGGCCATCGCAGGCGAAGCATGTAAAAATGGGGAAGTGCTTGGTATTTTTAGAGGGCAATAGGAGCTGCTTTTATTTTTACTTGAGCTTTATCTAGAGCTCTTAGTTCAGCCAGCTTATAGATATTAAAGCTATTTAAAAAATGTAAGAAAAGAACAACTTGCGCTTTATATAGAGCTCTTAGTTCAGCCAGCTTATAGGTATTAAAGCTATTTAAAAAATTTAAGCAAAGAACAACTTCTGCAGCAATCTCCGCGAATTGCGTTGTTTATTTGATATGCTACTTGGTAAAACGATTGTGTAATGTAGATTTCCATTATGTTATTGGCTTTGAAGGCTCGAATTCCCTCTCCCTGAAATCGAGCAATCGGCACTGCTTCCGGGGAAGTCAAGTTCAACTCCGCAATCGGATCAGGGCTTCCACTCAATTCGGCGGCCCCTCGGGGATGAGTGCAACTAATCGCATGCTCATTGCTCATCCGCCACCGAACCCTCGGCACATTGCTTATCCGCAGCGTAATCTGGCGGCTCCGCGGAACGGGGCACACATCGCATCACGCATACGCCACGTCGGCACCAGCAAGGCACATAGCATATCTGTTTCAGTCGCTCCGCGAATGTGCTCTGCCTATGGGGCAAAAAAGAACACAATCCGAGGTACCGCAAACACTGCGCAAATATTTGCTTTAAAATATCTTTCACATGTCAGCGACAAGCGGCCACCGGGGAAATGGCGCTGGGGGAAAACTCCGGGAACTCAGGAACTCGGAAACTCGGAAATTCGGAAGCTCGGCAGAAGGAAAAGTGAGACAGGTGCGGTCGCCAGGTATTTTTATTTGCCCCGGCAGCTTAAGCACGCAATTTGATTTAATTTCTGTTCGCTTTATTTATTTATGATTTTTTGCAACGATCAAAGCGAAGCGAAGCCCACAACAATTTCGGGGCCAATGAAATTTGAATTTAAACCTCGCCCAGGCAAAGTTCAAAAAAGCAAACGATGACATTTGTTCCCTTGCGAGATTCAGTTGGAAATTCGTTTGCCATTCACATTTTAATGAATAATGTATGCTTTGCATCCTGGAAATTAATCAAACATGCAGCCTTACAGGCAACCAACAAATGGCTTAAATCGTCTTAAGCACCAACAACAAGCCTTGTTTCCAGGAAAACATTTTGCCAGGAAAGTGAAAACCCCACCATTAAGGCATTTTTGCCATCCATCTCTCCTTTCTCCGCTGTCTTTCGGAATTATGTGCATGCATGTCGACTACTTTTGGGCGCTGATGTAATGCGTAATATTCCGTTAACTAGACTTTTCCGGCTTGCCGAAAACAATTCTACTTCGTCAACTCGGCGAACCGCACCCACCGACGATTAATCACAGTGACTTTTGTGTGGAAGAGTTTTGGTATTCTATCGCAGTTGTTTTGAAGCCACGTAATAGCACAAAAATAAAATTTGAAAACTATTATTAAATATCGAATTTTTAACAAACGTTTACTTTAGTAAAGAACCTTAAAATCATTCCTACTTCTTTATATATGTTTATTATTATTCTTTAAGAATAAATAAAATACTTCTCTCCTGCAAGCGAAACAAAAAATGTCAGGCAGTCAGTTCATAGGAAATGATTCACTAAATGCCAACTCTACTTAACAAGAAACATGTTTCCTCTCACTAAGTATTCTGGCTGATATAAATCATGCAAGACTAAACTCCCATGCCAACTTTCGCGCATGAAAATTCCCGGGTAAAGGTGAATTTCCACATGCCTTCGGGCTGAGGCATTTTAGTTACTGGCAAAACAGAAATATCCTCTGCTAAATTCATTCATAGTACACATTGCGGCGCGCCATTAATCACACAAAGCTGCCTCGAATCCAGTTTGTTCGGATGCGGACTTCCTGGGCGAGCCGTGAGTTTGTGGGCCCGTGAGACCGTGAGCCCGGCTAGTTGTCATAGCAAGTTGACACTTAAAATGTTAGCTAAATTTACGCATGCACTCAGCTCGAAGTCAACAAATGGAGAGGCGGGCCGGCGATGCCAAACAATGCCCTCGAACGGCTCAAGGATCCCGTGTTTCCCCCCTCCAAAGTCCTCGGCTGCTGGATGTCTCGAGGATGCGGTGCAGGGGTGACTGATGTCAGGCGGCAACTCTAACACTTATCGTTCATTATTATCTATCACCCACTGTACCACCCACTGTACAACCCACTGTACGACCCACTGCCCACATGGCAGCACACACTTAATTGATTTCTTTACTGCTGCCTCGCTATTTCTTCCGCGGCGAAAAAATCCGCAACGGATCCGCAACTTGGCTAGGACAATGTTACGCACATCGTTTACACTGGAAAAGTATTTATAAATGTAAGATATTTTTATAAAAAAGCATTGAACAAGAAAATATCTTTTACTTCAAAGTCTTGCTTAAAAACAAAGAGATTTTTAAGACTTATAAGCCTCATTTCATTATAAATAGCTAAATCGAGTCGACGATAATCCCCTGAGATATCTTTCTCTGTATCTCTGTTATAGTTTCAATCTCGCTGAGGAGGCGTGCTCCGCCCACGACCCTTGA